CGACTGCTGGGAGGGTGGCAAGGGCTGCCCATCTCACGAGATTCCTGCCACGTGGCCTTGCCAACAGCCTTGCTGGGCCACTGGGCAAGGTAGAGGGGGCCCACTTGGTGCCCCCGGAAGGAACGGAGCCTCAGGTGGAAAGGGTGGGACTCCCTTGCCCCTTTTGCCCTCTGCTGCCATATGGAGCCTGCAGATCGCCAGCTCATGAGACTCCAGTGCCGGTGAGCCCTGTCAGCCCCTCCCTTGACTCTCACTTCCGACCTGAGCACTGCCTGGCTAGCCCTGCTCACCAACGGCCTACCTAGGCTGCCTCCTGCTCCTCTGCGGTGCACAAACAGGGGGTGTTGCTCCCCACAGGTGGCAGGACGGCTCCTCTGGATCCAGGGCCCAGGCTAACGGTGCAGACAGTGGGGAACAAAGGCAGGGAGAGAGATCTGGAAGAGCCACCAGGGCACATGACCCAGGGAGCAGCAGGACGGGGGATGCTGATCGGCCATCCGCGCCGGGGACGCCTTTTCATTTATTTTACCTCTAGCTCTGTGCCCTCGAGAAAGCCCCGTGGCACCCGGCAGCGGCAAAGCTGACTGCCCCTGCCACGTCTTCCCTGAGAAACCCACACGCTCCTGAGCCCCAGCACGGTCACCACATGCAAGACAGCCAGGGTGTGACATGATGCAACCTCTTTATCTGTGTGCGGATAAAGCTTTTGTGAGTCTCGGGAAGGGTCGGGGGCCGGGGAGCAGCTCACTAGAACGGCTTACGGCCAAAAAACATCCCCAAATCCCCAAGAACCAGTGATAGAGATGGAAGGTCCGTGGGGAATGTTCAGATCTGGAACCAGAGGGGTTTATACCCAGTGTCTTAGAACATACAAATGGTGAGACGGGGTCAGACCAATGGACCATGGATCCCACTCTCCCATCTCCAACAGTAACACAGGGACGGTGTGCATGAACTCTGCATGCTGGGAGCGCGTGGCACAGGCCCCATCGTTGTCCACCCCTTATATCCACATGGCAGCCCTATTTCTGGCCCACAGCATCCTCTACTGGACCTGTGGCACCCACACTGGGCGCCCAATACTCCTGCCCCCCAATCCCGCTGCTCTGCCCACCCACGCCAGCAGCCCCTCCTGCAGTCGCACTGCGTGGTCCCTGGCACGGTGGCTTGCCACATCTTTCGTCCCAGCGCCAGGGGCTTGCGGCGGCTCCACATGGCAGCCCTATTTCTGGCCCACAGCATCCTCTACTGGACCTGTGGCACCCACACTGGGCGCCCAATACTCCTGCCCCCCAATCCCGCTGCTCTGCCCACCCACGCCAGCAGCCCCTCCTGCAGTCGCACTGCGTGGTCCCTGGCACGGTGGCTTGCCACATCTTTCGTCCCAGCGCCAGGGGCTTGCGGCGGCCAGTCTCCACCCGCTTTGTACTTGGGTGCCTTCGCCTGGGGACGCGGAAGCCACGGAGAATCGTTCAGCCTCCCCCGGTCACTGCGGAGCCGCAAGAGGGGGCTCCCACAAACGCCACTGGCGGAGACGGCGGAGGCGTTTTTAGAGGCAGAGCAGAGACATTATCACCAAGAGGAACCCGAGGGAGGGGAAGAGAGTCAGGCTGGGGGCGACTGCTCTCTTGTGCAAAAAGCACATGCCAGTGTAGACACTTTCTTGTGCAAAAGCACATGCCAGTGTAGACCTCTCTTGTGCAAAAGCACATGCCAGTGTAGACGCTCTCTTGTGCAAAAAGCACATGCCAGTGTAGACACTTTCTTGTGCAAAAGCACATGCCAGTGTAGACCTCTCTTGTGCAAAAGCACATGCCAGTGTAGACGCTCTCTTGTGCAAAAAGCACATGCCAGTGTAGACACTTTCTTGTGCAAAAGCACATGCCAGTGTAGACCTCTCTTGTGCAAAAGCACATGCCAGTGTAGACGCTCTCTTGTGCAAAAAGCACATGCCAGTGTAGACACTTTCTTGTGCAAAAGCACATGCCAGTGTAGACCTCTCTTGTGCAAAAGCACATGCCAGTGTAGACGCTCTCTTGTGCAAAAAGCACATGCCAGTGTAGACACTTTCTTGTGCAAAAGCACATGCCAGTGTAGACCTCTCTTGTGCAAAAGCACATGCCAGTGTAGACGCTCTCTTGTGCAAAAAGCACATGCCAGTGTAGACACTTTCTTGTGCAAAAGCACATGCCAGTGTAGACCTCTCTTGTGCAAAAGCACATGCCAGTGTAGACGCTCTCTTGTGCAAAAAGCACATGCCAGTGTAGACACTTTCTTGTGCAAAAGCACATGCCAGTGTAGACGCTCTCTTGTGCAAAAAGCACATGCCAGTGTAGACACTTTCTTGTGCAAAAGCACATGCCAGGGTAGACGCTCTCTTGTGCAAAAGCACATGCCAGGGTAGACGCTCTCTTGTGCAAAAGCACATGCCAGGGTAGACGCTGTCTTGTGGAAGAGTTTCTGCACAAGAAGCTGCCAGTGTAGATGTAGCCCGAGTGAGGCCTGAGCTTACATGCCAGGAAGTGGACGTCTCGTTTCCAGGAGACGCCGCCACATTGGAAAGTGAGGGGTTCGTGTCAGGCTGACCTTGACGTGACCAGGCCAGGCCAAGTTCCTCTTTCCCAGGGTCCCACAAACAGCCCCCACCTCACCCGTTCCTGGACCCAGCTTCTGAGCCCAGGGCATGTGGCTGGGCAATTGGTTCGGAGAGACCCAGACGAGGTTCCCCTAACTCTTCTCCCCCAGCTAAGCTGGAACTCCGAGAGCAGCCCAGATCTAGGCTGTCGCACAGTGCCCATCACCATGGCGTCGGGGTGCCCGTCCCTTTGACCCAGAGGCAACAAGGGGACAGCGTGAGGGCAAGGAGGGGGACGCGGTCACGGTGTGTTCCAACTGCCCAGCCGTGTGTTATCACCGCACTGACTCGCCCACTCCAAAGGGGACTGCGATTGGCAAAATGTTTCCATCCTGCACTGATACCCCAGGAGCCAGGACCAGCCCCATCTCTGCTCCCCCATGCAGACAGCCCCTGTGCACACCCTTGCTGCACTCCAATAGGGAGGACTCCAGCCCCCTTTCCTCCCTGGGGGCTGGGAACATTTTTGGCTGCCCCAAGGGAGGGAAGAGGCGGTTTCACAAACGAGGGGCATGGGTCTGGAGCAGAGCCCAGGGCTTGTTTACAGACACGAGCTGAGCAAGCGGCGAGGGCTGTGCAAACTGGAATCTTCTCTTGGCTCGGGGTCCTCTCCACTCCCCGCTGCCCTCTACCCCCACCCCGCTTCTCCTAAAAAGGGCCCCTCCGTGCTACATAATGGGATGCGCCCCGCACCGCTGCAGCCAGGCACCCATGTCCTCCCTTTTACTGAACAAGACCTTTTTCGGTCATCTAGCTTCCCTCCTCTCCTGTCCCCTTGCCATGAAACTGACTATCAGGGGAGATTTATAGCCCCTGGCTCCAGCCACAACTATTCCAGCCATGGAGAGGCGGGCTAGGAGGGCGGGGAGGGATATTTCTAAGAGAGGAAAGGAGGGGAATTGTTACAAGCTAGCAACAGCCTCTGGCATAGGACACTTGTAATTGCAGGTCTATGCTACAGCAGCTGGTGCAGGTAACGGACCGAGAGGGGGCTCCAGGAAGGAACGAGAACCCGCTGCAAGTCACCACGGCGGGAGGCAATGCCACGGACACAGAGAAATGGAGATCGCCAGCCTACTGCTCCTTCGCCTTCAGAGCCACCACGCAGCTTGCGCTGCTCCCACGGAAACGCCGGCGCTCACCTCCCACCGCAGAACAGCCTCGCCCCTGCTCTCTCCCTACCCCGGCGGTCATCCCACGCTGGGGCTCAGCAGCACCGAGGGGCCTAGCCCACAGGGCCCAAGAGAGCCACCAGAACAGCAAAGAGAGACGTCCAAGCAATTGTAGGTTGAACCTCCCCAGTCCAGCACCCTCGGGGCCTGACCGGTGCCGAACCAGAGAATTTGCCAGACCACGGGAGGTCAATGTTGTGAGGCAGCATCGCTAACGCTGCCACCGCTTGCTGGGCTCTTCGGGGGCATTAGAGCTAAGGAACAGCACGGAGCCCTGGCAGCCAGGACGGGTGGCTGTAAAGACACTTCATGGGGCCATGGGAAACGTGGCCATGCCCATGCTAAGTGAACATCCGGCTAATTCAAATCATGTGTCCCCTGTGGCAAGGGAGATGGGGAGAGGAGAGGCAGCCAGGCAAACGCCCCCTGCCCCCCTGCACGCAGCAGGAGCCCTGTTACCACAGGACTCAGAGCTGCAGGACACAGGGCGGATCCAAGCAGCCTAGCTCCGCACAAGAAAAGCGAGCGCCCGGGCCCGGTCCTGAGCGAGCCAGCCTCGGGGAGGTCAACAGCCCGGAGCCTGCCACAGCACGCTGCCCAGGGACAGTGGGTTCGTTCCTTTGTGGGCCATCGCGCAGGGCACAGCTCCGGCCAGCCCTCTGGGTGTCAGTGGGGGCCCCTTCCCCTGGGGTTCTGGGAGACTAATGCGTGTGGAGATTCGTAGCGACGACCCTCCACTGACTCCCCTCGTATTCCCCCGGGGCAGCCGCTGCGCTTTCCTTGCCCAGATGAACCCACGGCCCTTGGAGAGCACCCACTGGAGAGCCAGGGAGACGCCTCCCCTGGACATGCTGCCCCACACCAGGGACAAAGCGTCCCACTCCAGCAGCCTGAGACCAGGGTTTCCTGTAAGCTGAGCCCTTGGGCGGCCAGCCAGGAGAGATTCCAATGGCCCCCCGATGATTAGCAGCGCATAGCTGGCAGCAGGTGTTTCTGCCGGTGGTGCACAGCCGCACATGCCTCGGGGCACACAACAAAATTTATTCTGCACGCGCATGGAAAAATGTAGCGGTCACTTTGCCTGGGCCCTAGTGCTGTGGCTCGGTCCTTCCAAGGACCCAGGGGCTGCATGTGCCAAGGGAGGCGGCTCAGCCCTCTTCCCCCGAGGACGGGCAGCACTGCACTGCTCTTACCTTTGGATCAGGGACCCGAAGAGCAGGTGCAGCACCTTCTGCATGTTCTCAGTGCAGAGCCAGCTCCAGTGATCCACCATCAGCAGATGCAGCAGGTCCAGGGCCGTGTCTGCCAGGGGCGTCTCAGAACCTGCCAGGAGATGGCGGGGGACGGGGGGGAAGAGGGGTGTGAGAAAGCCGGCTCACACCCATGTCGCTTGCTGCATGGAGCGAGAATGCAGCTGGGCAATCACAGCAGGAGCCCTGCACCCCGGGGGGACAGGTGCCCATCCCTATGCACCCCTCGCCCCCAATGACCACCTCTCAAGACTCCGGCACGTGCCCAATGCTGCTGTTTGCCTAGAGATATGCCAGGCTATCCCCACCCTCTGCCGGTTCCCCTGGCATCTGCACTTCCTTCCAGCTCAGCCCGGACATGAGAGCTCTCCCCTCCGCAGCCCCTGCCTTCCGAAGCACCCGCCGGCCTCCCTCACCTCCGATCCCACCCCAAAGGGCCCCTTCTCCTGCTCACAGCTCCCAGAGCGGCCATGGGAGACGCACACTAGGCCAGACCCCCACCCCCAGTTGCGAGCGTGGGCCAGGCTCTGCGGCTCCAGCGCCTCTCAGGGCAGGGTTGATGGGAAAGCCCCCTTGCACTGTGCATGTGGAGTCACCCCTTCCCATGTCCAGTGCAAGAAGGCTTGGGCCGGGCCACCAGCCAGGAGCGGGGGAGAGCAGTGAGGAAGAACCAGCAAGGCATGCCAGGATTAAGGCTCCATCGCCCGACAGCCCCGAAACAGACAAAGAAGGGGCCCCGCCAGGAGCTTACAGGCAGAATGACACGGGTAGGGGGGTGATTCCTGGGGAGGAGGGGCGGGAGCGCTGGAGGCGGACAAGGGGGTGCGTGCAGGGGGTGGGTTGAAGGACCTTAGGCTTGGAGACGCGCCCCCGGTGGAGGGGACGATAACGCATGGGGGGGAGACTGGGAAAAGCGGGCGGAGGAGACCTGAGTGGGGGTGCCAGCTATGGGCACGGGGCAGGAAGGGGCTGGAGCTCAGAGAGGGCAGCCCGGCTGGAACGGGGGCAGGAAGCAGGAAGTGGCTGGAATATGGTCTTGTGGGGAAAAGGGGGGGGGGGGGGGTTGTACAAAAAAACCCTGTCCACACTCCTTTTTCCCGCAAAAACCCTTGGCGCAAAAATGGTGTGCATAAATGGGGGGCTGGAAGCAGTAAGTGGCTGGAATATGGTCTTGTGGGGAAAAGGCGCGTGGGGGAGCTTTCCCCAGGCCTGCGCCTCACTGCTCCCAGCCAGCTGGTGTCCCAGCGCTTGGCTGCCCCATTAGCAGGGCGGGGCTGCCACCTTGTGGCAGGCCCTGCTCCCTGCATGGCAGAGGTGCAAACCCAGCGCAGCCGGTACCGGTGCAAACGCACATCGGTCAGCAGGGATGTGCCAGCGTCTGCCCCTCAGGCTCCCTAAGCAAACCGCGCAGCAGCCGTTCTCAATTGCAGGTGGTCTGTCTAGAGAGCTCTCGCCCCCTGGACCTCAGGGCACGCCGCGCAAGGGGCAGGCCTCAGTTTCCCTGTATGCCAGGGGGCCAAACTGAAGGGCAGGTTGCAAACCTGCAGCTTCCCCCCATTGTCCCCGTCTCAGACCCTTCCGCAGCCAGAGCAGGGTTCGAGTGCTCCCGCCGCTGCGTGTGCTCAAGCGGCCGCACACAAGGAGGGCGGACAGGGCTTTCGCTTCCACTCCTTGCTGCCTGGGAGCTGGCTCCTCGCCCCACCAGGCTGGACACGAATGCCCTGCTAAGATGGGTGGGTCTGAGCACATTTGGCCACCAGCAAGTCGCGGGGATGATTTCCTTTCGTGCTTTACATTCCGCTGGGGCTTGGATTCCCCGGCAGGCGCTCCCTGTGCGCAACCACCCAGGCGGTGGGGCAGGACAAGTGATCGGGAATTAACCTTGTTTGCTCCCTTCACGCCCATTCCCCCAGCCCATGTCACTGGCCCCCCAGCCTCGCCGTGCCCGCTCCTCTGACAGGTCACTTACTCACAGACATGGCCCCTGGCCTTTGGCAATCCTTTCACAGACATTCCCCTTCTCCCCAGACCGTTCCATCCCTTTGCTGCCTCCAGGCCTGGTGATAAGTCAGCCTCAGTTACGCAAAACTTCCAGGAGAGTTCAGCCAAGCACAACCCTCCATGTCTCGGCTGAGCTGCACAGACCAGTGACCTCAGACCGGGCAGCCTGCGGTGCTGTGCATTTGCGTTCATTACAGGCAGGGTGGGGACCGCTACCTACGCGGAAGGACGCCCCCCACTTCCTATAATGCAGCCGTGTGTTCAGTTGCTTGTAATGTCACCAAACTTCAACCGTTTCTTCTGTCGTCTTCTAGGGTGAGAGTCGGCCTCGTGCTGACATTGTTGGGAAAGTTTCAGCTGAAACAGTTTGGCCGCCGCCAAGGACAGACGAGGCGTAACATTGTTTGTTCGTGTTCCACATATTCTTGCAACTGCTCTGCTGACAAGCTCTTTCTCTTGGAAAAGACACTTGAAATGCGGCAGAGTGGGGGAGTCACCGTAATGGCACGGATGTGCCTTTTGCTCCCATTAAATCCATTCAAATCTGGTCACGTTCCAAGTCTCTGAAAGCAGGTTTGAAGCTGTGATGACGCGTCGGGGTTCCCCTGACTCCTGCAACCCCGTAGTGGCACGGACAGACTCCACCAGCCAGTAGAACAGAGGGAGTTTATTGCTTCTCCAGGATACAGCGCAGCACAGATGTAATATGGTTCCAGGGCAGGCCTAGGATGCCTCAGCCCCCTTGAGATGGGGGAGACTGGACCCCTAAATCCCAGCCCCTTTCCTAGGCTGCTTCCTCCATGATACCAGACAGAAACTGCCCAACTTCCAGCCCTGCCCCCTAGCCAGGGGCTGCACTCCGCCTCCCTTCCTTTCTTCCTCTCCCTGGGAGGTAACCGGTCGAACAGGTTACCTACCTGACCCATCAGCTACTCTGCTGGGCCGTGGTACCGACAGCAGCCAGTGGGGGTCACCCACAGCCCAGGCCTAGCAACCAGCAAGGTACCAACACTACGTCCCAGAAGCGGAAGGGGACTGAGCGACAGCGGCAGGGGTAACCTGAATTCCGGCCCGGCCTAACTTCGGAGGGCTTGACTTCACGACAGTCATGTTCTTTGAATGGAGGGTTGTTGTTATTTTAACACAATATTGACACTCAAATGTGTCCCCCACCCGCCTCTAGGAGATGCATCTCTCCATGCTCTTCAGAAACATCCCTTGCATCTCAAGAGCCCTGTCGGGTAGGGAAGAGTCATTCTTCTCCGCTTGCTTGGAAAAGAGAAACTAAGGGCCACACAGGTGGAATAACTCCCCCAGGGAAAAACCAAACAGGAGTGTGGCCTCCCGCTCCCAAAGCTCCGTGGGGGCTGCCGGGGGCACTTTCTCCCGGATACGTTCTGTCGCAGAGAGGCCGCGTGCGTCTGCCCAAGCGGTAGCTCTCCAGGGTGCCGCCCGCAAAGACCACTGAGGTTTGAGCGTCATTCCGATTTTCTATTACAGATCAGGGTGTAGCAGAGAGACACGAAACAGCGAGCCGTCCGTTCCTCCACTGTCCACCTCCAATGGGACACAGCAGAGCAAGGCAAAACAGCGCCAGGGCACGGCTTGTTTTCTCCCAGCTGCGCTGGTGATCACCGTGCACCACCAAGTGTGAGACTAGGCACTCCCGTTCAGCACGTACAGCTAGAAATACTACAGTGTGTCAGACTGTTCAGTCCCTTCTCGTACTCTGCAACGGCTGCGTCTCTCCAGCACCCAGGTAGGAAATTCCCCGGCCCGTACTACACTGGATGGAGCTGTGTGCGCCTTTGTGGCTTTGCCGATTGTCGGCCACTAGCTACTATTTACTGCTGGAGTCGCCGTGGGGTCTAGAGACCTCAGCCAGGGGCGCGGTTCATGTTCAGAACAGAGAGAGCCAGCCCCTCGCCCAGAGAGGCACCTCGAAGCAGCCTGGAGCAAGGGAGGAGTTTGCAGAGAGCTTCTGCTCTCGGGCCACCTCACCGTGGCGAGGAGCTGACGGAGCCTGCGCTCCGTACCCACGTGGCTCCGGTTCCTCCCTGTGCTTCCAGCGACCTCACAGCATGGCACCAGAGGGCTCCCCACTATTCCAAGCACCCAAAGCACGGCAGCAAGGGGGCCCCCCAGGCACATAAAAGCCAACCCCTGGGCGCAGGGCGGGGCACTGGTGGGCAGGAACTTACCAGTGTCGTCTTTCTGGCTCACGGCCTGCAGTGGAACGGGCATGGAGCCAGCCCCCTGGTTTTCCGGGGCCTCACCGGAGGACGCCTCCAGCAGCTTCTCCTGCTTCTGAAGGAAGGACCCCATCCCGGGCAGGGACCCGGCGCCAGAGACCTGGGGAAGCAGGGATGTGTCATGGCCACAGGATAAGTATCCACCATAGGAGCAGCTGGCCGCTGCCCAGAAGCCGTAGTCTCTCCCAGCTCCCGTCAGGGCACTCCCTGGCCTGGCCCTGAGCATAAACATCAGGTCCCAGGGCGTCACCGGGGGCAGCCACTGATTGCCAGGGCACGCCGTTTGTCCGGCTGCTCTCGCATTCTCCCAGCTCTCGATCCCAGCTCACCTGCCCTCAGCAGCAGCCCTGCTCCCCCGACCAGCTCTGCCCATTCATCGTGTGGGGTGTGGTGTGCTGGGCGTGTACAAAGCGACACAAAAGAAAGGGCTGCTGCCGCCTTCGGTCCCTGCAGCCCTCGCTTCCCCAGTGGCTCAGTGAACGCTCGTCCTGCTTGTATGGCAAGAGTCCTGCGAGGCACGGAGCTCTCTGGAACCCACGGGGCACGCAGAAAATAGCGTCAGACTAGCAAACTCATTGCACGGGTGTCCACCTCCAGCAGCAGCTAGCTCTGGGGTCCCCACTGCTCCGCAACTCTTGTCCACCTGGATTCTTCCTGGTCAGCCCTCCAACAGCCTCCCAAAGACCGATGGCCCTGGCCACCGGATCAGCATCCTTGGGCGGGATGGTACTTACAGCGCTGCCCTCCCTCAGCCCGTACAGGATCCTCTCATGTGCTTCGGCCACGCTCAGCACCGGAGCGATTTTACTGGATGGGAACCGCAGCCTGGGCCTAGGGGAAGGGAGACAGAGCAGAGTTTAATGCTGCGTCCTGAATCCGATGCGAGGAGTTGCTAAAGGCCACCCTGTTGGCCTAGGGTTTGCTTGGTCCTGGGGCTGGACTCGAGGACTTCTCAAGGTCCCTTCCAGAATTAGATTTCTATAACTAACCAGACAATAAAGAGAGTGAAAGTCCCACCCTATATACACACATGAGCGAATAGCTCTTCTCTTGTCCACTGGCTGACGCGCATACGGGCCCTCCTCCGCGGATCAATTTGTCTTGTTTAAAGAGCTTTCTAGTCAGCGAGCAGTGGTCACTTGTCCATGAGGGTAGCTGGGGAAGGAAAACTGTAATTTCAATATCTGAGTTTGGATTTGGTCCAGGTGTGGGGATTAAGCCCTGCACTCTCCTTACCAAAAGGTCCACCAAAAGCGGCCAGCAGCACAGTGAGCACAGGGGTGTTTATCGGGTGGCATAGCTGGTTTTAAAAAAATGTTCAGAGCGGTTTTTTGAAGCAAAACATCCCTTTTCAGGATACTACATATGTACCTAGACACGCACTGCAGCCATGGATCACTGGGCGGCCTGGCAGCTTTTGCTGACTGTAGCAACAGCAGATAGTAAACACTTAGAAGGAAAGAACATGCAGAACCCTCAGGCTGTGTCTACACTGGCACCCTTTTCCGGAAAAGGGATGCTAATGAGACACTTTGGAATTGCAAATGCCGCAGGGGATATTTGCATAAAGCTGGGCGCCGCCATTTTTAAATGTCCGCTAGTGCGGACTCCTGCTAGTCCGAACTACCGTTACTCCTCGTTACTCCTCGTTACTCCTCGGCACGGAGTCCACACTAGCGGACATTTAAAAATGGCGGCGCCCAGCTTTATGCAAATATCCCCTGCGGCATTTGCAATTCCAAAGTGTCTCATTAGCATCCCTTTTCCGGAAAAGGGTGCCAGTGTAGACACAGCCTGAGGGTTCTGCATGTTCTTTCCTTCTAAGTGTTTACTATCTGCTGTTGCTACAGTCAGCAAAAGCTGCCAGGCCGCCCAGTGATCCATGGCTGCAGTGCGTGTCTAGGTACATATGTAGTATCCTGAAAAGGGATGTTTTGCTTCAAAAAACCGCTCTGAACATTTTTTTAAAACCAGATTTGAGGAAATGTTGGCTGGAAATAACATTCCTTAGCAATAAACAGACTTTTTAATTGGATCAAAAAGCAATGGGCCCTTCCAGATCTCTCAGACTTCTCCATGTCTACAAATGTAATAGCTGGATTACACAACCCTACTTACGGCTTTTGATAGCAAAAGGTTTTGTCAACTGATGTTCCGTTACCGTATATACTCGCATATAAGCGACCACTGCTCACTGAACAGAAATCTCTTTAAAAAAGAAAAAATGATCCGTGTCGGAGGCCCGGATGCGTGTCAGCATTTCAAAGCACCTAGCAACAAGTCTGGTGCAGCCTTGAAGCATTATTACCCCACGTGCGGCCCATGGATACAGCCCAACAGGCCGTGCGTAGCCTGAACAAAAGTCCTTACTTATTAGCCTTCTTCCCATCCGTCTGGGATTTCCCATCCGCCTCCACCTCGCTCAGCTCGTCTGTGGGGCTCTGCGGCTCCGACCTGGGGAACGCCGTCTTCAAGGTGTCCACGATGGCGTTGACCACGATCTGCGAGGGGTGGGGGAAGCACGGTGGTTAGCGCCAGGGGCAGGAGGAAGATACCACACTCCAGAAAGAGGTGACCCAGCTAGACCGGCCTGGAAGAGGCGGGAGAATTTGGTACGGCCAGAGCAGCCTTCCCTTTGGGATCGGGGGGACCCAGTGCGGCACCCATCACCCGTACTCCTTCAGGGCCCGCCGCTGTCAGTGGGACAAGACATGGACCCAAACTGCGCTCACTGTGGCTTTCCCATAACAGGCTGCTGGTGGGGGCAAAGGGGCAACAGAGAGGCCCAGAGGAACGGATGGGCAGCTCAGACCTCCACTGAGATCCAGTCTCTCCTTCCCACCTCTGCTCCCATGACTGACAGGCGCTCCCCGCCCTAGGACCCGCCCACACTGCAATCGGTGGGGCGGGGGAGGCTGATTACAGCTTGCAGAGAGAGACCCCCACGCCAGGGGTGATCTAGCTCACTAGAATACCAGCAGGGAAGCTGTGCATAGCGGGCCGCTAGCAATCATTACTCAAGCTAGCTGGAGTACAGCTGATCGGGGTACCTCTGCATGCAGGGCAGACACCTCCCACTGAGCCTCTCCAGGAAATATATTAGAGGGAGCCTCCCTCCTGCGTGGCACGTCCGGTGAAGACCACGTCTTCAAGCGGCCCTCCTGGGGCAGCTAGGGGTTCAGAGGAGCGGCAGGTGCCCACAGCCCTTGCTTGGGGGTTGGAGCATGCGAGCAGACACTGCAAAGCCACATCCCATCTGGGAGGGGAGGTGCTAGGATCTGAACGCCGCAGCGAGAGCGGGAAAGACCCAGGCTTCGCTTTGGTTGTGTTCATGGGCAGCCAGGAGAGGAAACGTGGGCCGGCATATCGAGTGTGTTTACATTAGCCTGTAAGCTGCTGGGTGCAAAGGACCTTAAACTGCAGCTAGGGGACATTAGGAAAAAACTTCCTAATTGCCAGGGTGGTGAAACACTGGAATCAATTGCCCAGGGAAGTTGTGGAATCTCCATCCCTGGAGATATTCAAGAGCAGGTTGGACAGACACCCATCAGGGATGGTCTAGATGGTGCTGGGTCCTGACGTGAGGGCAGGGGACTGGACTCGATGGCTTCGCGAGGTCCCTGCCAGTTCCAGTGTTCGGTGATTCTATGAACAAACCAACCCCTCCCCTGCAACGGTGGCTTTTCCCGAGGTTTGTGGGCATCCCACAATGGACAGAGGCAATTGGAAAACTGAGACTTTGGATAAGTCAAGGAAAGCTTCAGCGTGACGGTAGCCGGGGAGGAGGGGCAGGACCCTGTTTGGGGGATGGCTGGTGCGCTGGGCTCTGTGTATTTCTGTGCTCTGGAAACTGAAACAGCCAGGAAGGGTGAGCTATAAAAAGCATCACTCTCATCCATTCAGAGCCAAACACAGTCTGCATCCAGCCAAGCCGCAGCCCTCGTGGTTTGAACAAGCAGTCATGCCCCAGGTGCCCAAGCTGACAGGGATCTTTGAAAACTTTCTATTGCTCTCATTAAATAACACCCGCCAGACTGCCCTTTAACAATCAGGGACTGGCCACCTGATGTAGATATGGAGAACCAGGATATACGAGATGTGAGGTCAGACTACAAGGCAACGTCTAGCATCCCCATTTTACAGGTGGAGAAACTAAGGCACAGAACTGTTAAGTGCTCAAGGTCACACTGCAAGTTAGTGGCAGAGAGGGGAAGAAAACCTATGAGTCCCAATCAATGTTTCATATAAGATAAGTGCTTGGGTGGCTATCCAGGAGAGATTCAGGTCCTGCCCAGCTGATTAGCAGAGCGCCATAGCTAGGAACATGAGTTTCTACCAGTGGTGCACATCCACACATGCCTTGGTGCACATAACAAAATGCATTCTGCACATAGATGGAAAAAATTACAGGAAACATTGGACCCAATTCCTTGTTCTATCTATTAGACCATGCTCTTTTATCTAATTATTAAAATAGCTGGGCAGTAAGGTTTTCTGGGAAAAACACCCTGGGCAGGAGGGGTGTCAGATACCTGAGCTAGCGGTTATGGGTTGTAGGTAACACACGCTGCCAGCTGGGAGGTTTGCTCACAAAGCTTGCGATCCAAGAGACCTGGGAGACAGAGCCCAAAAATGCCCCAGGCATCAGGACCTTTCTGAATCACCACTGCTTGGGCTCAAGAGCTGAGCCGAGTGCTTGCAAGATGGGAGGGGAGGTGCTTCTCTGTCTCCTTTTCTTCCCCCTTCGGCTACCCGCAGTATCCTCTGCTTGGGGGGGGACGGGGACACCAATTTGGGCCACCAATGCTGTTTGCACAAAGCAAGCAAGGGTGGCCTTGTGGTAAGGACAATGGAGTGGTCATTCTGGTGGCCCAGACTCCCCAAGCAAGCCATGCGATATTTCTATGCCTCGGTTTCTCCGCCTGCGACATGGGGATTATGCTACGTAACGTCTCCACTGCTGTGTCTATTAGACTGTAAGCTCTTTGGGGCAGGGCTGTTTCTAACTAGGTGTGTGTACAGCACCTAGCACGATAGGGCCCCAAAGCTCAGCGGGGCCTCTAATTGCTAATAAATAACAACAGGCCGACAAAAGCCTAGAAGGAGAAAGTATTTTAATGCGTTAGGAGGAGACTCTTTGCATCAATGGAGCTCAGCAGACGACAGCTACGCGCGGGCATGAAGGTACCTTGTCTATTCTGGAGACCACAAAGGGTTTCTTGACAAATGCGATCCTGGCGTCCGTGTTCAGGGCGAGGAACTCCTGCACCTCCTCACTGTTGGCAGTCTCAGGGATGCTGCACAGTTGCTTCAAAGGAAAACACAAGGTTGGGGTCTCAACTCCATCCTACCCATAGAAACCAGAGACACCAGTCCTGGTAAACCTCACCGTCCCTCTCCCCTGATCAGACCAGCTTTTCAGCTACAACCTCCAGATGTCTTCCACCACGCCCCAGGGGACAGTCTCCCACACTGTGCACAGGGAGAAAGTTACGCCGTATCTGAGTGATTTGTGGTCAGTAGCAGGGAAAAGCAGGCCCAAAGCTTTTCTTGTCCCACCCCCCAAAAAAATGAGAAGACAGTTCTGAGTTTGACTTGTCCAAGGTCACATACATGCGGCAAAGGCAGGATAAAAGCTCCGAAGCTTGGTTCCCTCTCCCCTACTTCAACCAGTCCATTCTCACTCGGCTCACTGACGCAGACAGAGCTAAGTCCCCTGCCACAGGCTATGTCTAGACTGCAAGCCTCTTTCGAAAGAGCCTCTTTCGAAAGAGAGCGTCTAGACTGCACGCGGAATTTCGAAAAAGCAAGCCGCTTTTTCGAAAGAAAGCACCCAGTGAGTCTGGATGCTCTCTTTCTAAAAAGCCTGTTTGCTTTCAAGAACGCCTTCTTTCGAAAGAGCACTTTCGAAAGAAGGCGTTCTTCCTCGTGGAATTAGGTTTACCACCGTCGAAAGAAAAGCCGCATTCTTTCGATTTAATTTCGAAAGAACGCGGCTGCAGTCTAGACGCAGGTGAAGTTTTTTCGAAAAAAGGCTACTTTTTTCGAAAAAACCCCTGAGTCTGAACACAGCCTAAGAAAGAGGCTGCTGAATCTCACAGAAAAGAAACTCACAGAATATCTCACCTTCAAGAACGATTCCAGGAGACCTTTTCTGGCTTCCACCTTATCACTGTCCATGTTCCCAAAGGGGAGATCCGGGAAAAGCTTCTTTGGGCCTTTGACATCTTCCAAACAAAACAGATGCACATGTAAAAATAAGATACATCCATAAGATTAATAAAGGTTTAATCCTGACTCATGATGAGGAGTCGCTTCCTACACCCATAGGGCAAAGGCAGAGAAAGTTAATGCTCTGCAAATCTGGCCTCAAATATATCCAGAGCTTTTATCTCAAGCATTGTGAGAAAGGGTAGGGTACACTGCGGGGGTTTTCCAAAAGGAGGTATGCAAATCGTGCTCTTATTTGCATATCTTCTTCCAATTCTTTTCTCGCAAGAACTTTTTACGATATTTGTCCCATCTACATGGGGCCAAATGTCGGGAAAAAACCCTCTTTTGAAAGCCCCCTAATTCCTCATAAAATGAGGTTTTCAGGGGCTTTCAAAGGATGGTTTTTTTCTGACATTTGGCTCTGTGTAGATAGGCCAAATATCGGAAAAACCTCTTCCGGAAAAAAAGTCAGAAGAAGATATGCAAATGAGAGCATGATTTGCATACCTCCTTTCGGAAAAGCCCCGCAGTGTAGCCCTATCGAAACACTCCCCACTGCCAAAGGTTTGGAGGTGTTGATTAAAAGAGAAAAGCCAACCCAAAAGAACCCTGGAGTTGGGCAAAACGTTGAGTGGAACCGTTTTCCACTGGCCAATGAAGTTTTGTCAAAATCAAAATGTTTCATGGCAACATTTCATGTCAGCGTGGAGGAAATTTTCAAAGGAAAAAAGCATCGAAAGGAATCACTTGGAGGGGCTTCTTTCATTTATACAATATCCATTGTATTATCTGTAGTAAGTTATTTTACAAGTTTCATTTCAAACCCGACGTTTCATTCCAAAATCAGAATGAAAACAGTTCTCCAAACCGGAGGCACCTTGGTGTTTTGGCCGCATGCTGGTCTCCCTCTATCATCGGCCCGGGCCTTGACCGTCTGAGGTGTGAGCTCTCCTTGGAGTTGCCGGGAGCTGTGTGTTCTTGCTCAGCACCTTTGACTATCCGGTCAAGGACCTATCGTCACATCTTGACCTGACAGGCACTCGGAGAGCCTCGAACCGAAACCAGGCACCATCTTGCCAGAGCGCTGGCCTACATGGGCAGGGCTTTCTCCTGGGACCTACCGTGACGCTCTGTGGAGCGCCCCCCAGGATCAGGGGTGACAGCTCCCGCCCTGGGGAGCTAGCCTGGCCCCTTGGCTGTGGATCCCAGTGCTCAGCGGGGTGGGGTGTCAGGAAGGGCAACGCTGCAGAGGCTCCGGCTGCAGGGATTATGGCTAGGGCCCTACCAAATCCAGGCAGAATGCATTGTGGGCCGTGAAACGTTGCCGTATGTGTGCACGTACCCGGCACTATGCCGATTTCATGGGGCGAGACCAGCGTTGCTCAGACTGGGGGTCCTGACCTGAAAGGGGGTTGCTGGGGGGATCACAAGGTTATTTTGGGGGGTCACTGTATTGCCACCCTCACTTCTGTGCTGCCTGCAGAGCTGGGCACCCGGAAAGCAGCAGCCATTGACTAAGATCCAGGCTCTTCAGGCAGCAGCGCAGATGTGAGGGTGGCAATGCCACACCGGCCGTCCTTACATCTGTGCTGTGGCTGGCAGTAGCTCTGCCTTCAGAGCTGGGCTCCCAACCAACAGGCACCGCTCTCCAGCTGCCCAGCCCTGAAGGCAGTGCCACTGCCAACAGGAGCGCAGAAGTAAGGATCATAGTGCTGCCACCTCCCTCCAATAACCTCCCCAACTCTTTTTGAGGTCAGGACCAATGTTTCCTCTAATTGTTTCCATTCATGTGCGGAATAAATTTTGTTGTGTGCACCAAGGCATGTGCAGGTGTGCACCACCTATAGAAACACATGCTGCCAGCTGTGGGTGCTCTGCTAATCAGCTGGGCAGCATCTGAATCCCTCTTGAGTGGCCACCCAAGCACTCAGCTTACAGGGAATACTGGTCAGGCCTCTACAATTACAACACTCACAATTTTCAGATTTAAATATTTGAAATCGTGACATTTATCATTTTAAAAGTCCTATGACCGTGAAATTGACCAAAATGGATGTGAATTTGGTAGGGCACTAATTATGCCTGATAGACACCGAGGGGGTGGGGGTGGAGGGTGGAGATATACCCTGTTGTAGCCAGGAGAGCGCACTTGGGTATTCAGAAATACCAAAGTCATCCAAGCCTTCTGTTAACCCACCGTGTGCTGACTTATCGACACCTACCAGCCCTTAAGGGCGCACTCATTATATTCAGCCACTCAGAGGTAGGAAGGAGGGGCAGGGGAGTGGGGAAGGCAGCTGGGGCTTTTACGTGGCACCAGCTTCAGTGCTGACTTTTTATGAATTTCCGCAGCTCGGGTTTCTCCTCCAGCCTGGTCTGCAGGTTCAGAAACTCGCGGTAGCGCCGGTTCACGGTGTGGTAGGCCACTTGCTGGAGGCTGCTGGCGTTCTCACTCTCCAGCGCTGTCTCATACTGGGGAGAAAGAGGGAGGACCATTGGTCAGTCATCATCTTTTGGAGACCAGACGAACCTCAGGGAGAAAGATCACCAGTGATGGGATGGGACCCAGCAGCCCCACTCACAATCTCTCACACTAACCACTGGGCTGCACGGCCCACTTGAGTGGATAAAAGTGGAGGATTTGCTTGTTTGTTTGTTTTATTTCAATGGGATTTGATTTTGTTATTTAAAATTAGAACACATTTTTGCTTTTGAAAATAAACCTATTGAAAATAAAATCTGAATGGAAACACAGAATCTGTTCAGGCTTAAATTTATTATAATCTCTTAAACCAGTGTAACAAACAAAAAATATGCTGACTCTCTGAACCTCTGGCAAAACTTTTGAGTTAAAAGCCACTTTTTTCTATAGACGGAAAGCATCAGGGAAAACCCATCTACCTGGTGAGGCCAAGCTTGATAAACACGGCATAGGAGTGGCAAATAAGCACTACCAGTCACCATTTTCCTCCAGACTAAAAATTGACGAGTACAGTCTGAAAATAGCAGCTTCAATAAATGCCGTTAGTTACAGTGTACTTTCCGTATCAAGTCCCAGGCCGAGGCTCTATTTCACTATAAATCAGCATGTCTTTGTGATTACATCAGCCAATGAGAACCCGTCTTTCTTTAGAACATAACTGAAGTACAAATGGAAAAGTTGATCGTGATGGAGGATTTCAGATCAAGGTTTCCCGGTGGACTTGTCAAGCCTGGATTTAAATCCCCCTCCCCTGCTGGGGCAAAGGACACTTTGCTTTGCTGATCCCACTTCCAGCCCCCCGCCCGCCAGAGCAAATCACCTTGACTGTGTAGAGCGTGTAGGGGTGGAAGCCGGTCCCGGTGTGCTCCCGGGCAGTGATGGTTCCGGTTATCCGCAGGTTCTGGACGACGACGGGGCTGTCCGGGCTAGTGAGTGGCTCAAAGCTGAAGGTATGGGGGGAGAGGAGCGGGAGAGGCAGCTGGCACAGGTCCTGGGGGCTCTTGGCTGGGTTCTCCAGGAAGGAAGGTCTCCTCGAGGAAGACGTCTCAGGATTGACCAGCAGGAAGGGGACAGAGGACAAGCTCTCCTCCCTCTCCACCGCGGGGTCGATTTGTACGTCAGGGCAGTGGCCCAACACGGAGGGGAGAGAGCTGCGGGCGGTGCTGTCCTCCAGGTACCCATCCTTGGCACACACACCATCCTCTTGCTCCAAGCCCTCCAGCCCCTCCAGGACTGCAAACGGGTCAGTGAGGAATTCCTCCGTGGACAGGAGTGCCACGGAATCGGAGTCCTTGCCCAGGTCAGACAAGGGGGACTCCACCTCCGAGTCCTCGCACGGGAAGAGGGAGCCCAGGGCCTCTAGCTGGGGGAAGTGCACGGGCGTGCTTCTGGCTTTCCTCCTGTCAGTGTCAGCCCCAGCCTCTCCGCCCGTCGACTCCTTCCCCTCGTCCCCCTCCTGGGGGCTACGCTCCAGCCCGTCCACCTCGTCGTAACAGGGCGGCTCGGAAAGGCTTGGGGACAGTACCTCGACTTTCAGTGGCAAAGAATTTGGCACTGTGGGCTGGCAGGGGGAGGTGGCCAACGGAGGCTCCTCCCCCTTTCCCCTTCTCACCCCTTTGCTGCCCATCTTGGAGAAAATCCCGATTAGCAACAGGTTGACCCAGTCAGGGTCAGACATCTTCTTGACCATGGGCAGGAGAACGTTGCAGGTGACCAGCTCCCCCACCACAAAGCGCCCGGTCCTGGTTTCCAGGTGAGGCTTGGGCACTAGCACCCGCAGCAACAGGTCCACGATGCTCCGGGCGTAGTTCACTTCCATGGCCGGGCTCTGGAGGGCTGGGTGCGGGGCAGAGAGCTCGCCGTACGCTCGCCAGAGCTGCTCCGCCAGCTGAGCTGCTTCCACAGGGCTCCGGGCAGCCCCCACGTGCTCCTTCGCCTTCATGTAGCTCTGCAGGTGGCAACCCCACAGCGTGAGAATCTTCTGAACCAGGGCTTGCTTGTCCACCTGGGCCATCCTCCTGCGGAGCTCCAGGGCCAGGCCAGACATGGCCTTCCTCACCTCGTCCTCAAAGGCTCGCTCGCTGCTCACCGTCCGGTACCACGAGGACACGAAGTCCCGGACGATCTTCTGGATCATGCGCTCGATTTCCTCCTCCAGCTGCCTCTCCGCCTCGGGGCTCCGGGGGCAGGTCTCCAGCAGGACGAACCGCTCCAAGTGGAGCCGGCTGCGGGTGCCGAGGACGGCCTGGGATCCCAGCCATCCCCCCAACACTGCCAGCAAACCCGAGAGGATGCAAAGCAGCCAGATGTTAACCAGTAAGTGGACGACTAATAGCCAGGCTAACAGGGCTCCACAGACCATCAATTTCCTGTTCCCTACCAGATCCCTCAGCCCGCTGGCCGGGCTAGAGCCGGGCTCCTGCGCCCTGAGCATCCTCTGCTTTTCCATCCAAAGAGCCAGGGAGTTCAGGCTGGGCTTGCAAGTCTGGGAGCAGATTTCCAGCCCTGGGGGAGCAGCACCTTGGAACCGTCACATCCAAGCAGCCGGGGCAGAGGGAAAGCGAAAGCTGCTCTGCTCTGTGCGAGTGCCAGACCGCAGCACTCAGCCAGCCTGGCAGAGCCCCCGACAGCAAGGGAGAAAACCCTCTGCTAATGCACCAGCACCCTCGCTTGCACCCACTGCCTCCCGGCCAGCCAAGGGCAGCTTGACACCCTGCAGCTGGGGGAAAAGCTTCCTGCTTTGCAGAGCACAGGGGCGGGGTGGCCCAGCCTCCCCCCAAACATCTGCCCCCC